TATCGATTCCGCAGGCGAGCGGAGATCGCGCGGCCAGCGTAAATCTCGCCTATAAATAGGCGCATAAAGTGCACGCGCGCCGCGGACGAACATTTGATACGCTTCATTTAAATTTCCACCGGGGGGAATATTAAGGTCGGGAGGGCACGGCGGTGCCCGCGACGATGAATCGCGGTCGGGCCGGTGATAAAATACGGCGCCGGACCGGGCCAATTAATGTCGCGCGAAATATCTAGGGAGGCGCGCCGGACACCGGAAGTGCGAGAACAAGCTCGAGTTAATAAATCGCTTCCCACCCCCTCCAATCTGCCCGTTTCGATCCCGATCTCCTTCTCGACGATAATACTTCTCCGCGAGGGCGAGCAGAGCGTAAATCACGACTGTCCGACTCGCCCAGGGTCCGCGGAGAGGCCGACAAAAAGCTCGTGCAACCGAAAATTCTCGCGAGCTGCGATCCACGAAGTCGGACGGAAGTTGGAGATCGCGAAAATTTGCGGCACTTTCGCGGTTCCGCTCTTTTGTCACGAAGGGGTGCGGCTCTTGGGAGCTCCGATACGCTCCGATCATCTCTGCACTGTGATCCGTATCCCCGAAAATGTCACCTTTGCTTTTCAGTTTACATTAAAATTCAGGTTAAATTTATTTTATTATTTTATCATCTTTATTTCCTTTTATTTTATTTAACCTGTGATCGTCGCCGAGTTCGGTAAGTTTCCTTTTTATTGCGCTTTTAGAGTCCATAGAGAGTCGACTGTACGTGTCAAGAAATTAACCTTATATCGTAATAATTGGATTGAAAACGCGTGAAATTTATTGTACCGGAGTTTCGATCTTGTTAACACTAGATTTACGGAACCCGTGAAAATGGCGGGTCGCTAATTTTTTAATCCTTTGAACTCTCGAAGTCATTTTAACTGTAAATCTAAAATAATTTTTCCGACTTATAGTATTTCCTTTTTGTAGGACGAAGTGTATATTTTATGCACGTGAAATTGAGTTTTGTGACTCATATAATGCAGTTACACTTTTAATATAGATTTCTTAAATCTATGCTTTGATAATATATAAATTATCTTGGAACGTGATATAACAATTTCGGTGACGCCTCAGAGTCGCCACTCGAGTGCAAAGGGTTAAAATTTACGATTGTTCGTATCGTAAAGATACATTTAGGAGTTGTTTATTCAATTTATACTTGCGACAAATGTTACAATAACGCCTGTTCAAAATCAGGATAAAACAGCTGTTTTTTATGCGCTGTAAACTTAGCGTTAAACCTTTGCGCTATAGTAACGAGTTAGGCTCGCGGCGAAGATTTCATCTACAGTGTACTACGTAGTGTCATTCATTTCTTCCGAATCGAAGCAAATTTTGATACTTTTGTTATCGAAATCAAGGAATCAGAGTAAACGAGAACACGTAAAAAACAAAAATCGTCTCGATCCATCGGGGAAATAATTAGAGACGAAGAGGTGCTCGAAGAGACGACTCCAATTACAGTAATTTCTCTCAGAAATGTTGTTGAAACATTTTTCGGGCATCCTGTATAGAGAAAAGTAACTGCAACAAAGCCGACAGTGTTTTCCTTATTTCACGTAAAACGAGGCTCGAATGTCCCGTTTTCAAAGGGTCAAAATACCGTTGCCCTCTTTCAGACCTCGCGTGTCCGCGTCGGCAAGCTCGCTCTTTAACGCTGCCTAACAAGATCTAATCTAATTTGTATCGTCATCAACCCTTAGCGATCGGACGATTTTTCCGACACCAGCAAATCGAAGCAAATTTTCCCGAAATCGTGATTCTCTCCTGTACAAAGTTGAATCGACGAAAAGAAAAATCCTTGTAACGCTGCGAAATCTTGCAAGAATCGATAAATTAAAGATTCCGTGTCTTTATTTACGTATTACTTGCACGATTACCTCGAGGAATAATAATTTATCGTCGCCGCGTATCAGCGACGTCGTAGCGCGAATAGTCAAAATACAGTCGGACCTGTTTTTCTGCTGTCTTTCCTATGCGATTCGTTTTGCGCGATCTTTTTGCGCGCTGCACGAATACAGTGGAGCCCGTTTTCGTGCGGTAGATAGAGACCGCGGTAAAGAATCGCGTGAAAAAGACCGCAGAGAAAACAGGTTCGACTGCACATCACAGTCGGTCGAAGCGCGTCAATTTCGGAAAGGTAGCTCTGCCGGAAAGCCGACAGATTTTCCCGTGTTGCATGGAGAAGGATTCGAGAACGGGGGCGTTTTCCAAGGGGTTGAAATCCAGTCTCAAGCGAAGTAGTAATCCGCGAACCGCCGAAGGAGTCGGCCCCTCGCGGTCGAGCGAGCACAGCTTCGCGGACCTCCGGCGGGGGTCGAGAATTAGATTTAAGTCCGCGCTTTTTCGACTCGTTACGCGTCCTGCGGTTCTTTACTGCGGCTCGTTCGCTGTGAAACGAGCTTTCGACGTTCCATCCCATGTAGATCGAGGCCAGCGTAGACTTGGCATCGTGGAGAGAGCTCGCCTTTCAGCGGGCAGCGCTCGGTCAAAGATCGCCCGGAGGAAGCTGCGTTTCCACGATCCTGCGCGTCTTCTTACTCCCCGCTTGTTTTTGTCTCGTTTCCCCGGTTTTTACCGAGCCAAGCCGACGTCGAGGATATCCTCCGTAACGCCGACGGAGAATAAAGAATGCTTTTCCAGCTTCGTCGCCGCCCTTTCCGACGGACATGCTTCACTTTTACGGCGGTCCGCGGTTTCGCGCGGACCGATTCCGCGTGTACAGCTGGCACGCGGACGGGATCGCGTGTTTACGTACGTACGTATTGCATTATTGAACCGAAACGACGCGAGCTTTTCGCTGCGATGCACGCGCGCCGTGCCAGCGAACCGCTTCGCCGCGACGAACGATCGATCCGACGCGCGATATCGATCCTCGTGCGAGCCGAACCGTAACCTGTTATCGCGAGATGGATACGAATATTTTATAACAATAACAACCCGGCTTTTCGTTTCGCGTTTTTTCTTTCTCTTTTTATGCTGCACCAGGATGAATTTCCACGGCGGAATATGCAGGGAAATAAAACTTCTGGGCAAACGTAAGGCGCGCGCGCGCTGCGAAGCGGTATTTTTCAGCGCGCTGTCCTCTGCCATAAGTGTATTAAAATCCATGGTTTCGCGCGGTAGGTAAACTCCGCGCCTGCTCGTGTGTTTGACTCTCTCTCCCTCTCTCTTTCTCTCTCTCGCCGGTTATTTGACGAAGTTTCCTCGTGTTTCGTAAAAGGATTGCTTTTAATAACGACCGTGAGAACCGTTAGAACCGTGTTCAACTTATGCGACAACGAGCAGAACCTGGTGGATGTTCATGGAAATTTCTGTTTTCATGGGCAAACTCGAAGAGAGCGCGCTCTCGAACTTCAGGTGTTCTGGCATGTTACTAATATTAATACCAAAGCGCCAAAAATTTCATCAAAGTAAAATATTGCATTCGATTAAATTAAAATCGCTGAGCGAAGGTGTACAGTGAATTCTGATTTGCGCTCAGATTGCGCGCAAAAGTGGAAAATTTGGGAAGAGGAGATACGATCATTTGGGTAAATATTATTTTTATGGTTATTTCCTGTTCCCAAATTGCCCATTTTTGTGCACGCTCAGATTGTCCACAAAAATGGACAATTCGGGAAGAGAGGAGATACGATTATTCGAGCCTTGCGGCTTTTTTAAATTGCTTGCGGTTTTTATAATTGTTGACAATTCGTACAAAAACAAAAAATTGTTGTGCAATGTCTCAAAATGCTCTCCCATAACTTGGAGTCAAACGTTGCACCTACTGATAACAGAAAAAATGGTCGATTGACACTGAACGCCTATTACAGTAATGTCTCTCTAATTGACGCTTTGGATTATCCACAAAAGTGGACGATTCGGGAAGAGAGGAGATACGATTATTCGAGCCTTGCGGTTCGTTCTCATAGTTACGAATTGTCAACAACCATAAAAACGAGCTGCAGGGCTCGAAAAATCGTGTATCCTCTTCCCGAATTCTCCATTTTTGTGGACAATCTGACCCAGTCAGTTAGAGAGACATTACTGTACAGTGAAATTCTCGCCAATTGGCGCTCAGCTTGGAAAGTACTGTACATCGACATTCTTACCTCTTCGCGAATCGCAATGAAATTGCGAAATAATCACGCAGCAGCGTGGAAATTAATTTTTGAAAATCGAATCTTAATCAGTGACGCGGCGGTCAAAGTGTTAATGATGCGATTACGACGCACTCTTTTAATAGCGCACTTACGATATACTTCATCGATAATATAAATAGGATGAATTTTATCGATAACACAATTTCGACGCGAGAGTTAAAATTCCCGATTTAACCCTTTGGCATACAAGTAAAGCAGAATTCGATGCGTCCGATAAATACAATTTGGCTCAACTAAACAATTACGTGCAAGCCGAGGAAGAGACTGTTTTATCTTGAAATTTGCATTACCGAGAAGATGGTGGAAGGGTGGGGCATTGCGAGCATTGTAAACAAAACCAGAATCGACGCACGAGCGAAGCAACCGAGCGATCTAATAATATACCGCACGGCGTCCGCCGGAAACAGCCCATGACGAGTCGGACTCGTCAGAGGCTTTGGTGGCACATGAAACGAACGACGAGCGCAACTCGTCCTTGTATACCAAGGGGGGTAAATAAGCGCGCGCGTTAATGCCGGAGCGGAATTTTACGCACAAATATTCTAATCAGCGATCTCCCCTGAAACGCCGTTTATCCGAAAGCAAAACGTTGTTGGAAAACAATGCGCGCACGGCTCCGATGGAAATTATGCGGGATCGCAACTCCTCCGGCATTTTCGTCTTCGAGGAAAGTCACGGCCCTCGAGGTTCGTTCGCTCGTACTCGTGAAACGCGAGCGGCTCCGCGTGTCGCGTTTGTTATTTATTTATTTATTGTCGATTTCGTTCATCCGAGTCGCACGAGAAAGTTAACGAACGATCCCGGCGTTTCTGTTCGCAGCTTCGACGAGACGTCGATGGACAGCTGCCCGTTGGCCGTCGCCGACGGGAGGACGACGGATGGGCCCTCCAAGGACAACGTCGAGACGGAGGTGACCTCGTTGGAGGAGGCGAAATCGGTGATCGCGACACTGCGCGCGAGACAGAGGGCACAGGCGCATCAGATGCTCGCATGGCGGCGGACCCTGAAATTGCAGGTAAACTTCGATCGTTCCGAACACTTTTCCCGCGGCACTGCCTTGACGCGGCACTCTCCGAAGGAAGAAAGAACGTTGGCGGCCTATCTTTAATTACCAGCCGACAGTTTCTAACTCGGGAGTTTCGGGCCGACTCGTTGATTAAACCCATTAACTGGGGAAAAGTTTGAAGAGGAGCCCGCCGCGTTTCCGCGACAGAGCCCAGACGTCTCGTGACGTTCGACTATTATTTCGTGGACGAAATCGCGTGACTGTAACCAGTCGATCCGCGCGGTCCCGGGTGAAACGGATTCGCGAGAAACCCTTCTTTCGAACGTTTTTAACGATCTCGGAACCTCGCCGCTCCTGAAACTCTTCAGCGATCTCGTACGGTTGCCCAGATATGGTTCGTTGCATGGCGGCAGATTAGCCATCGTCCGATCGCTTTATTAGATCGTGCACGCTTATTTTTCGGGAGAAACGTTCGCCTAACGCGGCTGCGATACTTCACGCTCAACTTATGGAGTTCTACAAGTGCCCGACCGCTTCGTGAGAATGAATTTATTTGTAGCGAATTTATTTACGTTTCTCGTAATTTTTGCTATAATGTGAGCTTTATTGCAACGACTCTTGAAGAAGAGTCATTATGTTGCTAATTATATAGTCAGTATATTTACTATATTTTCTATATTTGTTTATTTACTATATTCACATTACTATATTTATTTATTTACTATATTCATATTGCCATATTTATTTATTTACTATATTTATATTATTATATTTATATTACTATATTTATTTATTTATTTACTATATGCATATTACTATATTTATTTACTATATTCATATTACTATATTTATTTACTATATTTATATTACTATATTTATTTATTTTCTATATTTACATTACTACATTTATTTATTTACTATATTCATATCACTATATTTATATTACTATGTTTATTTATTTACTATATTCACATATTACTATATTTATTTGCTATATTTATATTACTATACTTATATTACTACATTTATTTATTTTCTATATTACGATAAAAATCGCTAAGAAAACAGATTACATAGATATACCATTATAATATGCTATTATAATCGTCTCAGAAAATATTTGTCTTCGCAATGTCCACGAATTTGAAAATTAGAGCGAGAAACCGATCACTTTGATTGGTTCGGCGTCAACGTCTGTAGGCACCCGGAATCCATTCGAAGCTTTCGATTTGGACTTGATGTATGAGACACTCGGGTGATCGAGCGATGCCCGAGAACTCTAAAAACATCACAATATTAGCGGATCGTCGGGAGATGTCGAGATCTTTCTTCATTCGCGCGAATCTCGGATGGAGAAGTTTAATCCTGTTCTAGCTTCGCGGAAAAAAGATCGAACGACAACGTGGCCGGGGGCTCTCGTTTCGCCCGAGTTAAGCTTCCATTTTCGCGGCGCTCGCTTTGGTCGCGCTGATTGGCTCGGCCGCCTCCCGTCAGTTGATCTCGCCTCTCATTGGTCGCTGCTTTCTCGTTAATATCTCGTAAACGAAGCCGCGGATTGCATTTTCGCTGAGGAAAAAGTTGCTTGAAATGACCTCAGGAACCCTCCATTTTCCGGAAGTGCAATATTGAGACACAAGTATAATATTGGAACACCCTGTGTAGGGTGTTTTTGGGTTGAGTTTAAAATAGTCGAGCTTTAAAAGCCGCAAAATTGACTTGAACTTTCTCCTTTCGCGAAGCGGATGCCTCGCGGCGATTTCACGGCAACCATAACCGGGCTCGCTCGAATCCTCGCAGATCGATTAATTGATCGACGGTTAACATCGTTCTTATTGGGCACAATAGAACAATCAACGATTCGAACCGGCTATTACAAAGTCAGATTTTCGATGGCACGTTTGTCACTCTCGGTCGAAATGGCGCAGCCGCTCGACGGTTAGACAGGCGGTTAGGCTATTTTTTCTCACGTTTGTCCAGTTCACAAAATTCGTTTCCAACCGTAATACATACATATTCGAACGAACCGAACGTTACCAGGATAATTAATTAATGAACGTTCACTTTCTAACGTATCAGTCTCGTCGATTAGATTACTCACAGATCTCCTGGTAAGTTTCGGAGATCGATTTACGCCACTGAACGCGTTAATCGTCACTGTATAATTGCATGAAAACAGGCTTCGGCACGGAAGCATTCCGAGAACTTTCATTCGATGAAATCAATTACATCGAGGTTCGAGAGCCGAGCTCTCGAAGTTCGAGAGCCGTTCTCAGCGCTGCGAATCGCATGGACGGTTGAAAAAAAAGAAGAGAAAGAAAAAAAGAAAAGAAAGAACAATCTTGCTCGTTCCATTGAAACGGAACGGGGTAAAACGCTTCGTCAATACGAAATGTATCGCGCGCCGAGTTCGGCCGCCGTGATTTGCCTTATTGTCTTCGTTTTAATTCGAGCGCCGTCTCTTGTCCGCGGCTATTTGCTATTCCCGCAGCGTTTAATCTCGCCGCGGGGGTGGCTGCGGCGGCGACGGGGGCGGTTTTCGAGCCTCGCATGACGCCGTGGGAATCGATCGAGCGACGAGAACAACGAAAGCGGCAAACCGAGCGGAAGCCCGAAAATTCGGACCGAAGATCGCGCCGGCAATCAACGCGGGGGGAGGGAGGGGGGACAGATAAGCCTGGCGAAATGGTGGCCCATCGTGACGCGACGGCATGCAAATGAAACGGGATACCGTGACCGTCTACCGCAGGGTCTCGAGTACTTCCTAGCTGCGAAAACTCGTGAGATTCGCGGGGCTATCGAGGCGATTCACTTTTCAAGGATCGAGGCGAGAAGGCGCCAAGCTATTCTTCTGCGACGCGGAACAAAGGACTGGCCCAGTTCCATTTCCTCCAGGGACCAGTCTCTCTCTCTCTCCTCTCTCTCTCGCGAATCGATCTCTTTATCCCTGAGATTCGCTGCAAGCTTCGGTCATTAGTATCAGCTTCGTCGCAGAGGCTGGCTCCTCTCGTTCCTCCCTTCGACGCGAGAGCGATTTCACGCACAAGAATTGACCCTTCGAAGCTATTTAACCTACGCGACGCGGTCATTTCTTCTGAACTAATATTTTCCATTCCACGCCATTGCTTTCGTTTCGTTTATACGAAATCGAGTGCATTCGCTCGTGTCCCGTTGAAGTTTTCAGCATTTCTTTCGCACAAACGGATTCAGGAACGTAAACGCATTCGTGAATCGGGGTAGGACAGTTTTTAACCCCTAACCGGATATGGTTGCCGCGTAACTTTGATCAAGTAATCGTTGTACGTTAACCGTCGACTGAGAGACGAGATCGGTTGGCGCAAGACGGTCAAGCCAATCAGCGTAACTGGGCTTCGTCGACTGGGTCGCCTCGCGCCAGCCGCGCTCGCCTCTGATTGGTCAGTGTTCTCCGTTGATAACTCGCGAACGAAGCCGCGGATTGCATTTTCGCCGAGGAAAAAGTTACTTCAAATAACCTCGGGAATCAGCTATTTCCGGGTGTCAACACGATTATAGGACACCCTGTGTACAAACACTGTTTTCGGTACGCTGTTACCGTGACGGAAGTTTACTCGTTCGATTAAACCGGCTCGCGGGGGTGGGCGGCGGCACGGCACGGTACAAGTTTCGCGAAAATCAGGCGGGGGCCATTTACGCGCGGCGTCCATTGTGAGTTACGAGTTCGGATCGCTGTTAATTGGCGTTCGGGACACGGCGGTGTGTTTGGCCGCCATCAATTAATTTGTCGATCTCGCGCGCGTGACGGGCCAAAACGTCGGCGGCGTTTGTCCGGCCGTTAAAGGGTTTCCGATGGAAACGAACGCCGGCGAACAGAGGCCGCTGTAAATCTTGAGATTTACAGACAGCGGATATATGGTGTTCGGAGACGTCTCGACGCTTCGTTCCGCGCGGCACGCCAAGCCGAAAAATAGCTCGGAGCATTCCGGTGGCTGGGCTGACTGGCTGGCCTCGCTCGTGGTAGATTCGCCGCGAGGACGTGACTTCTTCGTCGTTTTCGAGATTTGAAATTCCGTGGCGTCCCGTTCTGGCCGCGAACTTTACAACCGAGAGAAATGGCGCGGGTGTTGGGGGCGAGGGAGGTCGTGACGGTCTTACCCCGTCGAAGAAAATCGGCGCCCTTCTTCCATAAGCGCACGCCGCCGCCGCCGCCGTCGCCGCGACCCGCGGCTCTCGACTTTCCTCCCTGTCGCCGCGAACTTTGCATTCACCGCGTCGGTTTATTACGTTTATCGAATGCGGAACTGTCTCCGTTAATTAAATCCTCGGTGGCTGACGCTTCGGGACTTTTAACGCGGCGGTGCAACGGCCGTCGATGCTGCGCCTCGCTGTTAGATCGATGCTCCTCCACTCTTTCTCTCGTTCTCCCGTTCTCCCCCCGCGGTTTCCGGTCCTCCTCCCCGGAGCCGCGTTTAATATTAATGCGACGCAACGCGGTCCGAAACGTATTTCTGACGCGGCCACGTCCAGAAACTAAGTTTCCGTTTGCTACTTTCGAGCACCTATTAGCGAGCGCCCGCCGCGACCGCCTCGGAATTTTCTGCAGTTGTCGAACTGCTCGCTGGAATTGCATAATTTTTGATTGGTGTTGCATCGTTCGGCAGACTTTATCTCAATTAACAGATTTTATACTGCGACGAAAGTGAAATATTCGGCATCGAAAATTGCTCCACCGTTTCGCAGAAATGGCGTTACTTCAACTCCATGTCGTATCGTTGTTTTCTTTAGGTTTCCGATTATCGGGTTATCCTTGATTGTAATCGTTTCTACGAAGGAAAATTAATATTTTTATTTGTCGCGTTCGATGCTTAAATATTAACGCGACAGAACAGAATTTTATGCCGAGACTGACTGAAACGACTATGAAAAGACTAGACTGAAAGAAATATTGGGTTGGCAACTAAGTAATTGCCCCGATTTATATATATATTATATTATATATTATTATTATATATTATTTATATATTATTATTATA